AGGGAGCAAATTAAGACCATGGCTGTCTCCCTGGACTGCATAGCATGTAACACCACCTGATAAACTGAGCCAGAATTCAAGATGTATCAATATAGCATCAACAAGGATCTGTGAGGCTATTTTCAGAGGACACTGGCCCACAAAATGAGTGTCTAGGAATTCCAGAATAGCAGACTCCCACCAGCCTTCATGCTGGCACTTGCTGGCTTTACAATTTATCTCATAATGACCTACAGATCATCCTTTCCAAATGGCTCCTATATGCTGAGCACATCTGCCCAGGACACCAGCTCTATGGGGATAGTCTTTGCAGCAACTTGACTACCATGTGTCTTTGCTGGAAGAAACAGGACTGAAACCATGTATGATGAATTTGTCAATATGTTCCCATTCATATCATACACACAACTAATCTGTGTTTACTGTCTTTTTGGTAAATCACCCGACCAAAGAAAGAATCACTGACCCCCAGATCAGCTAATTTAGAATATGTAGGAACAATATTTTAAACTGGACTAATAAAATTCAATTAGCTAAACAGAAGCCTGCTTGCAGCCTGCTTTTTACTTCCTGGGATATGTACTGTTTAATAGACAGTAAGGTTGAACACAGACTGAAGTGCATGTTCCTTACCCAGGAGAAGACCAGCAGCCTGCTGACAGGGGAGTAGCAGAGTTCCCCTGCCACAGACAGGGTTTTCAACACACCACCACCAGACCAAGCAAACACCTATCTGGACTGCCATGACCACCAGCTCATCACCATAGGAAAACCTGGAATATGCCTCAGAGCAGATCTTCTACTGATATCAGGAAAGATGCTGTAGGCTTTCTGGATTGGCTTATCCTCCTATTATAAACTCCCTGCAGCTTTTCTAAAGCTAAACACCATAAATGAAAGGCCCTTGGCAATATCAGAGTAATTTAGTTATCAATTTTTTGCTTCTATGCTTGTCTTGCTTATTTTTGTGGGTGATATTTAATCTTCATCTTTCCTACACTATCTTACCAAGGTTTGCAAATTTTGCCCATTCTCTTAATTTTTCCAGATGAAAGAGGATGCCCATTGCTTCCCTCTTCCCTGCCATTATTTCCTGTTTCTGCATGACCTGCAGATGCTTATAGTGAGTCTGGAGCAGATCCATAAGGACATAATTTTGTGGAGCAGATGTCCTATATTTAGCAAAAGCTGGTAGACAAGGCTACTTTCAAGAAATAGAAAAACTATAGTTTAGTTTTGGTTGCTTTTTCTTATCTTCCATCAAACACTGTTATCTGATATAAAAATAGCCTCTCCTCCTTCTGACCAGCTTGACTTATAGTGATGGAAGATGGGGAAGGATTCAATCATTCCCTCAGAGCCTCAGAGTAATTGTCAATAAGTCCTGGCTGGCCCTGCTCCAGCTAATTCAAGGAGTCTTAGGAAAAGCATTGCCTAGGCAATGGTGGCAGAAGCAGGATATTTCACATCAGTGTTTTTAAAAATCTGCAGCAGTAACCTAACACTCCTTCAAGGGAAAAGCAGCAGCAGGAACAGGCTGGAGCCTGGGGAAGAGGGGAGCCTCTGAAAGCCCAGGGAGCTGAGATAAACACACCCAACCACAAGCCTCTGCTTTCTATCAAAGTACTGATTTCTTGTGTACATCTGCCCCCATCTTCCTCTCAATCATTTTCAGAGATGTACCTGAAAAAGGAGGCAAGTGGTATAAGATGAAGTGGGATACATGCCTGGCTTCCAAAGATTTGCTTATCCATGTTGCAATCTCTCCATTGCAGGACTTCTGGCAGAAATGGATTTCTGCAGAAGGATTTCCACCGCAGGATTTCCACGCTTAGAGCCATTTGCATATGTTTATTGTGAAGACTGAAGAAGTCAGGCAGTATGAGTTGTCATCCTTATCTGCCTGACATCACTTGTTTGGTTTGGTTATTGTTCTCTTTTTGTTTTTAACTGTGATGTAGGATGACTTCAGGAAGAAACTTTTATTTGGAAGTGCAAATAAAATTAGCTTATCCAAACTGAGTTTTCTCGTCTTACTCTTCTTATTCATTCTTCATTTGCATTTGTTTTCTTCTTCATTTGATCTGTGTTCTCCATGTCTACTCTACTCTTTCCTGTACTCATAGCTTTACTCAGGGTTATTTATCATCTCTTTCCTGTTTTTAAAAGGCAGTGTCTCTCTTTTTTCTCATTCTAGCATTCACACCCACCCTTTCACTTCCACCCCCTAACTGTCACCTGTGTCTCTTCATCATTTCCTTTGCTCTCTTCCTTTTCTTACTTTCATTGATTTCTACAAACTCTACTGAAAAAAATAAGAAAAGAAGGAAAACTGCTGCCCAGCCCAGCAGGGGAAGCAGAAGTGAGCGGGTAGGGAGGTCTAGTGGCAGGTTGACAACTCAGGATGGGAGGATGGGCAGAAGTTATGTTTTTGCTGTGAACAACAATAGTTTCCCTTTTAATTCGTGATCACTGTTGTTTTCCACCTTTCAGTTTCTCCTAAAGGATGTGCTATGGTATTAGTGCCATAGCAGAAATCTTTCATTCCTTAGAGGTGAAATGTTGTAACCAAAGAGAGAATGGTAATCAAGTCTAAATGCACCCAATGCAATCTTTAAGTACCTAAACTAGGGTTGCAACTCTCATAGGCTCACAAGTGAGACAGTGGAGGTAAAAACGAGCAATCAAGTCTTTTCTTTTTCCACTGACTATGTGGGAAGATTAGGAAATTTACTTCTTATTAGACAGCACCTATGGATAGGCAGAAAAATATCCAAACTCAAAGATACGGAAATCAGAGAAGACTCAATAGCAGCCAGAGATCAAATGTCTCTTAAACTCACTTTTTTGCATTAGACTACACTGCCTCGGATGTTCAGAGGTCACAGAAGGCTGATTCTAAACACATGTGGAGCTCTCTGGTGTCTCTGTTGGGGCTGGGCATGATGTTTGATCCTTATACTACAACTCAGCTGAATGCAGACAAAACCATTGAGATGGAGCTCGTGCACACAATGACCAAAGAGATCCCACCATACAGCCTTTCCCCACCAAAAATCAGTAATAACCTGATGTATGCTGCAAAAAAAAAAAACAAAAAACCTTCTGTGATGCACTTGAAATCCTCTTCATCAATATGCTAAATCTGCACAACAGATTAATCAGTGGATTATTTCATTTACATTTTTAAGATATTACAATGCATCTGCAGCTATAGCAGAGAAGGTGATTAGATGTACTTGGAAGGGGTATTATTACATATACTAATTGCACATACTTTGATATTGTGTTTTCCACAACTTAGGAGTGCTCCTTTTCCCAATAAAGTGTTTCTTAAAAGAGCAGTAAAGAGTTCCTATCACAGTCCTGGAGTACTTGAAAATCAGAAGGTCAGATGCAGAGTGGAATTTTTTGCCATAAAACCTGGGTGGAGATCTCACATGGTTTTAACAGGCATAAAGATATATTGAACCTGATCATTTTTAATGTCGTCAAACACTCTCCCTGGCTGAAGATCTGCTTGCATCATGTTTCTGTGAGCTTAAGGAATTAAAGCCAACCCAGTGGCCCCATCAGAGGCAGCTCTGAAGCTCCTTCCCCAGTGCAGCCTTTTCCCAGGCATTCAGTGGGTGCATGCTTCTTGCCCAAAGCACACATGCAGCTCTGAAACAGCCAGGGTATGTCCTGCCTCCATCCCCACCACAGCCCGGGTGGGCTCTGTCTCCTGCCTGGGGCTTGGGCTGAGGAAGGGGAAAAATGTCACTGTAGAGAGAAACTGGTGTTTCTATTGCAATAGTAGGATGGACAGTGAGGATTTAGAAAGGGGAAGGAACATCCTGGAAAAGGATAGACACATAGGCTTCAAATCTGTATGGATCTGAGCTTCATTAACTGCACAGTTCACAGAAGGACACATTTGTCCTTATTCTGGCAGCTCATGGGCCGGTGATGGTCTCCCATGAAGAGAATATTACAGAGTGAGGTCCTTAATGTCTTTGAGAACTTGAAGGCATTATTACAACACAAACAACATTTGGGCTGTACAGTCAGAAACTGTTCAGAGCAGCAGTGATAATCACCTTTCAATCTAAGCAAACCTGCTCAGGCAGCTCTGCTGTACTCGCACAGCCCACTCCACTGGGCCAGCACCGATACCAGGGCTGCAGCCAGAGACTGTCCTGGCCAATTTGTCTCATGAGGAAAGCCTTGCTGAGAGGCTTTCTACTTACAAAAATTATCTTGATGGTTATGGTTGGGATCTTCCCATGCACCAGCCAGCATGAGCTAATGCTGTGTTCCCATCACCTGAATCCCAGGTGCTTTTAGGGAACCTGGGTGAGAAAAACTCCATTATAATGAGCAGAGCTGCTTTGGCTGATGGCAGATGATCACCTGATTCAAAAGTACTTTGTTCATCCACTACTGAAAATCAGCCAACCCAGGTGAGAGCTGCCAGAAGGAAAAAGACTGTGTGGCAAACATTGAGATGGGATGCATGAAAGAACAAAGGCAATTCTTTGGTTGTAATTTGACCAAGAAACCAGAAAGGATATCAACCTATTCATGAGGAAAGTGTCTGCTAAGGAATGAGCAAAGGTAGCAGCCAGATTTACAGCAGTGTAAGGACAGCAACTCCAGTGGGGTGGAGTGCCCAGGGGACAAGCTGAGCAGGGACATGCAGAGCCATCTAGCCTGCTGCTTTGGCTGCTTGTGTGCCACACCACAGATCTCCACACAGGCAGCCGCTGAAAGCCCCACCAGGTCTCCTGTTCAAACCTTCCTCTGTCAGGTGTTAGGTGAGCTGAGATTCCACACTTAAAAATGTGCACATGTAATCTGAGGAAATATCCCATTAAACAGTGACTAACATGGCACATTTACAGCTAACTGATCTGTTTTCCAGTTGTTACAGACCATTCAAGTTATATTCACGGAAAAGTACTGGGAGACAAACCTTCCATGAAAATTTAGGTTCAGCCCTCAGTCTGTTTTGCATATACCTGAGCAGATGGGTATGGGCTGTCCTTGTTGTCCAAGAGGTTAATGGGGATCCTTCCTCCATGGCTGTGGGACAGATCAGGAAGCCATGGATCTTGTTCTAGAACAGAAGGATGGTGATAAGCAGGATCAAAACCCTAAAACAAATAGGTGCCTTAAATCACAGAGAATGTCCACAAAACTCTCTGGCACCTCTTTCAGCCTACCACCCCCAAATTGCATCAAGTAGTCTTAATTTTTATTCTAGTGACTAAGTTAACTGCACAAATTTATTCACACCACTCCATCCATCTCTGAATTCTGCTACCATGACTGAGGCAGCCTAAGTCTGCTCTGTGGGCTGCCTCCCCTCCCACCCTGCCAGGCAACAGGAGAGTTATGATCCATGCCCAGGCTCCATATGCACCAATGAAAACTCCAGCAAAGTGAGGAGACACAAGACAAGATGATAATCTCTTTCAAATTAATCAGGAAAAAAATAGATAGTTTTGAACTGATATATGTGTCATTAACTCAGTATCCATTTCAGTATTTCTCAGCTACAAAATCCCACATGACATTTCAAAAAAAAAATCTCCTCCAGATCTGTTTGCACCAACTTTCAATGATAGTATCTCTATGTAGGAAAAAATAGTCTACCACTCATGTGAAAAAAAAAAAAAAGATAAGAGAGTGGGGGAAGGACATTATTTAATTTATATGATAGATATGGTAAAAAACAATTACAGGAAAATCTTCCCCCTTTCCTAAATGAAACCTTCCAAATTTTCCTAGGGTTATTTAATCATTATTTTCCCAAAAACCCAAGATCTTCAGGAGTCTGTCATCTGGATATGACCAAATGTGGATCTCTATGTCCCAGTTGTCTCTGGGGAGACTACAATCAGCAATAGAAAACACACATTTTGTACAATTTTTGTTAGAAGATTATACTTTTAAAAGAATTGTTTGTAGTTATATAGAAGACATTCAGAAGCAAGGCATGTGGTCACCATTTATAATACAGATTCCAAATGTCGGGTTTGGGACTTTTGGGGATTTGGGTGAGATTGTTTTGGTCTGGTTTGGTTTGATTTGGATGTGAGGGAAGGATCTTCAGCATCAAGCTGATCTAGTGACTTAGGTAAGAACAAATGAAGAATTCTCCCCAGTGCTACCCCAGTGAATTCAGACATCAGTTCACTTCAGTGCTTTCCTCTATTTAATTTTATTCTTCCCAGACAAAGCACAATCAACACCATCAACTGGTGATGAGACTTCCAGTAAGGCAAATGATCCCATGGAAAATCTCTTAATATCAGTGGATTGGGGATTCATTTCTTGAGAGGAGACACTGGCCTTCTCTGATGTCTGGAATAATGATTTAAAGGCAGATTCTGGGGAGATCACATGGCCCAGTCTTTTGGATCACTGATGCTAGAGAAGATGCCATCTAACCATCAAGATGAAGCTATTGGGAGTATGCCCATTTCCTCCATCAAGTCTAGAACTTGCCCTAGAGTTTTTCCAGTACTTTTTACTGCCATTCTTCCATAAAAATGGGGGAACACAAATCTTGTAATGGTGGCATTTTTTCTTTGCTTTGAACATTCAATTCATACATGGTAATATTCAGATGACTCATAAACCTTCAAAACTCAGAACTACCACTTTCCCCTGTCCCACAAGGTTGACTTCTGGACACCTGACTTGAATGCCATTAATAAACAAATGGCCTTGCAAGATAATGCTCTAAGAAATTCTATGGAGCTGACCTGATGCTATTGCTTATTATTGAAGCAATCTTCTCCATTGTGTTTGATCATAGAAAGTCTCCATTGCAGTGCCAGGCATGGGATAAGGCCAAGTTACATTCAGGGATCCACAAAACCAGGGTTTGCCATTAACCCAGCAACACACATAAATGCATTTGAATGTCTCATAGAGCTAAGAAAATATTTGCACTGCTCAATGTTTTTTGGGAAAAAATAGAGGTAAATGTATTACTCCATTTTCTCTGAATTATTTCTATCTCAATAGATATCTCAATGGACTTTTTCTCATACTGCATTTCCTTTAGTAAAATGTCTCTAGGAAATAAATACACATCCCTTGTCCCACACTGCTCTGTGCTAAAGTTCTCTGATGGCTCCACATTTCTCTCTTCTTGCTTGTTAATGACATAATGCTTTTTGCTCCTTGTTGCTTTCACTTGCAAAATGTCATTAAGGGGCAATACAAAATACACACAGTTCTTGGTGCAGCCTTTCCACATCAGCAGTTGTAGGGATGGATCAGAAGAAAGTTGCCTTTGTTTGAAGGTGGGGAGCAGATGGCTGTGTGATGAGGTGATAGTAGCTACAACCACTTAATGAGGGCAGTTTTGAGACCTGTGATCTTGGAAAAGAGAGGTAGAAAAGTGTTATGAAGCTCTGTCTAGGAACTGATCATTTGGTTACTTTTGTGGCCAGTGAAGATTCACAGAAGAAGCATTTCTCTCCAAAGGGCTAAAAGAATGTCTTCTCAGTAAATGACCAAAGCCAAGGCTACATCAAACATCAAACACATCAGAGATCTGTTTGCACTGCAGGCTGGAACTGCCCATGGAGCAGGTCAGGAGAACAAGTTAGCTTAAACACACAAGTTCTGTAATAGAGTGTGATTGTGTGGTGCTTATAGGCACAGAATTCACATTAAGAGTCATAAAGTCACATTAAGAAAAAGGCTTTGGAATCTATATTACATCACTCAATGTTTCCTGTGAACCATGTCAAGGATCATCTTGTCTTCACAAAACCCTCGTGTCAACTCTGCTCACAGTGTGTCAGAAATGCAACAGGAGCAAACAGGAAGAAAGGCTAATGCTGCTTCTGGGCTGTCCCATCCCTGGAAGTGTTCAAGGCCAGGCAACCTGCTCTGGTGCTTTTCCAAGGTGTCCCTGCCCATGCCAGGGAGTTGGAACTAGATGATCTTTAAGGTGATGTCCAACCTAAACCCATCTATGATACTGTGATTCTTATGCTTATTTGCCCATTTTTGTGACCCAAAAAGAAGAAAATATTGCAAGCCATTATTTCATACAGTAGAAAAAAACCTAATTAGTCACAGCAAGAGGACTCAACAGTGAACAGGAGAGAGATGGATGGCATCTGGAATAATTTCTAGTGAGTTAAACAGCTGAAGTAGCTAAGTAGCTCAGGACAGAGAGCTTAGATTTGTGAGAAGAAGAGAGGGTGAAAAACCCTGTAGAGGTATTGTGAGAGAGCAAGCAGAAGGCAGGAGCACTAGAAGCAGGAATTAATAGTGGGAAAAATAAAAGTAAGGTTTAGAGTTCTTGAGAGGTCTCTACATTGTATGGACACCCTGCAGTGAGGATTTGGAGGCAGACAGAAAACCAATGGAGAATTGAAGTGTGAGTAACAGAGTAAATACAGTTCTGTCTTAATAAAATCCAAGTCAGATCTTATTTTTGTTGACAGGAGACAGTGATTTAAAGCAAATTTTTCCCATTTATGCTATTATGAATAAGATCAAAATCCAGACCCAGAAGAAGCCAGGATGCATTATAATCAGCTCTTTGAAGTTCAGGGAACAAAACACAGCCTGATTGCAAACAAGGGAAGGAGCACTCTAATCAATGTACCTTTTCAGATTAAGATGTATTTAAAGATTTCCAAATAAGTGGAGTCATCAGGCAAGTAGAAAAGAATACATTCAGACATGGCAAAAAATAATATCCTAGTTTTCCTACTCCTTGGCTGGAAAAAGCTCTATTTAGCTTCAGAAAGAAAGGTTGAGTGACATCAGATACACAGGTTAGGAAGGAATAATTTTTATTGTTTGAAGAATTTTATTTTCTTTCAGAAAGGAACAGCAGGCTTTGAAGATTTCACTATGCATGTAAGGATACCAATATAATATAAAAAAATAAGTGGAACTGAAAACAGTTCAGAGTAAAGAATTTTCTGGAATCTATCTGCTATTATAAATCATCCTTAAAATCAGCAGTTAAGAAGAAAAGGTTTGCAAAGAGCAATTATAATTTACTATGAAAAGCAGAAATTAATAAGCAATAACTGGAGCAATTTAAAGAGGGGAAAAGTATCAATACTATCTTTAAATGTGTAAAACTGGAAATTACATTTTCTAATTAATTCTCTATCTAAATATGGAAACAGAGTAACAACAATCATGTAATTTTAGGTCAGATTCTAACCCAAACACAATCTTGAACAATAAAAGAAGGTATGATTGCCTAATGTATTTCCAGCAAATAAACTTTAAATCCAGTCCCATGCTTACTGTGGAAGTTCCCTGCAATAGTCCTTGGCTTGCATTTATGTGAATTGATTGAAAGTGCCCAAATGCTACATTAGTCAGTCTCCACATGCTGCATAAAGATGAGCACTCAGATAGCAATTAATAACAACTTACTTGGCATCAAGTAGAAGAGATAGTATCTAAGGCTGATGCTGGCATGGAAATGAAATGTTATATTTGGCATGAAGTTTCTAAACAGACCATAAGGGCTCAGGTGTTTTAATGCACATTTGTTTAAATGCCTGTTCCTTTTCCCCCCTCTGCTACATTGTAGTCCTTGTAGTCTGTAGTTTGGTTCATTCAGAATTTCATGGCATATGTTTTTCCCTGGAAACACATCTCTGAATATCTTCCATTGTACATCCTTTCTCCACCCAACCCGATGACAATGAGTTGCTATGTTTTTTCCTTGGAAAGACACTTGGAAACCAGGGGAGGGAAGAACCCATTTTTACGTAAGAAAGAAGGAAAAGGAGCAGACAACAATGGCAGTGTATCTCACTGACAATCCTAAGGGACTAAGAAGCAAGTATTTTGCAAATAATGCAAAATATTAATCATTACATTAGCTCATATGAAAATCCATTGTCCAAATACAGTTTGCTTTTAGAAAAAAGCCTAAGGGATTAATCTCTCCTCCTTTTGTTGGGCTTTTGCTTAGCACAAGAATATGGGGAAATTTAATTTCCGAAATAATCTTCTTTCTAGTCAGCCATTTTTTATTTCTCCTAAACACCTATTTTATAACAAAAAATGTAATTAAAAATTAAATCCCTGACAACTTCTCTCTGGTATTTTGCT